CAAGGCGCCATTTTACATGTAGAGGATTTCGGATCTGGTAGTGGAGATGAAAGCGTCACACCTGGATGGTGGTGCTCATCTGGTACCCATCCAGCTCCTAGGTGGCGGCATCGCTGCCGCGGTGTGGAACATGAAAGGTTTCACTCTGAGCTTCCCAGCTTGAGAAGAGACCCTGGGGAGCCTACAGGAATGAAGAGCCGCGCAGGTGAGCTCCACACGGGAACGTGATCTCCCTGTTACCACTGTCCTGATCAGACACATCTCTGGCCAGACAGTTTCATCATGGTGGGTGGATGAGGATGTTCACAGTGGGGATGCCTGCAGACAGGGGTGGGGTCATTCTTTCCCTTTCTAGTTTTGTGTATCGGTTCTGTACAAACACAGAAGAAGATAAGATAGAGAGCAAAGTTCAACAACAAGTATTTGAAAACTGCAAGTGGCCAGGTTGCATAGTTTTGATTTTTGTGGAAACCGTGAAAGAAAAAAACTTCAGAAGTAAACTTTTGAGGGGCACTTTTTTTTATTATAAATTTAATATGGTTGATTAATGAAAAAATTACAATGAAGTACCGTGAAAATGTATGTCAATATAAAAATATTAGCAGCATTTCCATGGTTTCAGGCTCTTAACGTTTTAGTCACACTGTCTCTCACCATCAGAACACAACAGTGGCTCTACAGGAGGACCTCAGATGCTCTACATAGAAAAGGCCTCGGATCCCCAAGCCCAGCGTCCTTTCTAATATTTCCCGCTCGGCCCCAAGGTTCACAGCATCCAGACGCATCAAAAGCCTCGCTGGCTTTAATGTCTGCGACCAGAATTCCGTGGTTCAGGCTACAGGGCAGAGCAGGGAGGGACACTGGAATTGGACTTGATATGTATGTAGTGTTTAACTATACACCCCCTTGCTGTATGCTGTCCACGCTGGTGACGGTGAAAGGCCACTGAACAACCTGCCCAGGACCTGGGATGGCAGCGGTGTGGCTGCTGCTGGTGGGCGGCTGGTGCTTCCAGCCACACACACTGCTCTGGCTGAGTTAAGAGCTTGCCTGGCTGATGGACCAGGTTCACTGCAGTGGCCAGTGGAAAGGGAAACACACAACATGAAGATATAATACTGGCAATTTATCCCCTATTTCTTTGGTACTTTCTAAAATTCTCCAATCAGTAAAGTATAAGGAAAGCAGAGCATTAAAATTACAGTTTAAGTATTTACAAAAGCAATAGTGATCCATTACACAGTAACTCATACACAGCTTCTGAACACATTCCTCAGGGAAAGCACTTGTGAACACCTGTCCCAGCATATGCAATCACACAAGGGCCTGAGAACTTGCCCAAGTTTGTATTAAGTATACTGTATCTCACTCATATTACAGTATATTTAAAAAAGGATTTCATAACCTACACTTTAATAAAAGTTTTTAACACTTGCCAGCGCTGAAATCATTATATACAGTTAGCAGAATATTGCATTCTGGGCAATACTCTTCACTTTCATTCTGAGTTTGTTTGAAATAAATGCTACATATTCTAGGTACACAATATAATATAAGTAACTGCACCACATCATGTCATCACAATATCAGTTTGATATATACTACTATGTACAGTAGTTAGGCTAATTCTGGAAGATGAACTTCTGTGGCCAGGGTAAGCAGTGTGTGGATGAAACCGTTATCTGGAAGGTATGTGGGAGGGGTGTGTACGTGTCAAAAAGAGTAGGGGTGGAGAGGTGTGGACACACCTGCCCATGTTCAACTATCCTGACAGCCATGCACCGGCTGGAAGACACAAAATCACACCTATGACAGGAGGATTCCATACATGAAGATAGCCATGATAGCAGCACTGAATAATCCAGCCACGGGGACAGTCACAAACCAGGCCACGAAGATGTTCCGGAAGAGGTGCCAGTCCACGGCCTTCCGAGAGCGTATCCAGCCCACAGCTACCACTGAGCCCACCTGTAGTGGCAGAAACATCATATTCAAAGGTGAGACACCGAGGAGAGACCCTTCACCAACACTGACCTTTTGGTTATCATTATGTGTATCATGTACCCCGAACCCTTCCTCATCAGTTTTCTATGGAGGTCATTTTATATTTTCATAATTTATGCTATGAAACTAGCCCCATTCTGTGAGGTTCCAAGAACACTTCTGCTGGGCAGCGTTCAGGAATCTAACGATACTCTTTACCATCAACAGCCTGCCCTAACTTCCTTCCTACCTTTCAGCGTAAGCTTGGGTCCTCTCCATGTACGTTCCTTACATTTCTACAGTTTTAAAATTATATTTATATGTATTTATATTACATTTATGCCACAGCATGTGTGTGGGGATCAGAGGCCCACACTGGGGACTCATTGCTCTTCTTCCACCACGTGGGGCTTAGGGTGAGCGCTCAGGCTGTCGGCCTCAGTGGCAAGCACCTTTCCGCACTGAGTCATGGCGACAGCCCTGTTTCTCACCGGAATTAGTATAAACGCATTCTGCTCCCCTGCAACTCTGTCGTCTCTGTGTGTGCATCCCCCATTCGTTATACTTTCTATCTGGCTGTTGTTGATAATCAAGCTCTAGATTTTTGTATTTTCATCTTGGATGTGAGCAGTTTTACTCCATGAGCTTCATCTGGTCTGCCTGCACCTAACATCCCACTGTGGTCCCATGTGAAGGACCTACTCATGTCAACAACTTATCCTTATACTGCTTATTATTCCAAGGAAACAAAACCAATTGTGTGACTACTATAAACACTTGGATAACAATAACATACATATGTCTTTGTTAAGGTCTTGTGAAAATTAGATATAAATCTCTTAATAAAATGTCCTGATGGTCTAAATATTGGGCAAATTATACTTTAAGATGAAAATGAAAGTTTAAATTTTATTTTAATTCATTAAGTAATTAATTTTTTTGAGACAGGGTCTCACTATGTGCCCTGGTTGGCCTGAAACTTGCTAGAGAGACCAGGCTGGCCTCACACTCAAGAGATTCTGCCCACCTCTGCCTCCTGAGCACTGGGATTGAAGGTGTGCACTACCATGCCTGACGTAAGAGTTTAGCTTTAAAACCATGTATGTATATATGTGCACACAATGGGTTGCACTGTGACATTCCCATACACACGTATGTGAGGCACTTTGATAATCATGTTCTCTATTGCTCTCACTGTCCCCCAGATCTCTAATCAAGTCCCCTTTTAGAGAGGTTAGACTCTGGAGGTAGGAGTTTTCCACTATGGCTGTGAGTTACATTCTAGAGTTTCATGGTATAGCAAAATCATACTGTCTGGTGCAGCACTTTCCGTTAGTGCGGAGGAGACGGTTAATAGGTGAGTCTGAGCGGCTGGAAAAGTCAGGCAGGTGTGACTGTGTCTGCCTACGACATGGTGGAAAGTGGGCAGCTGAGACGGTTTGGTAGGGAAAGGTGCTTGCCTCTAAGGCTAACAAACCGAGTTCAATCCCCGGGCCCTACATGATGGAAGGAGAGCGCAGATCCTGAAAGTTGTCCTTTGATCTCCACATGAGTGTTGTGTGTGTACATGTACACACACACACACACACACACACACACACACACACACACACACACACACACATACACATACACACAATAAATAAAATAGAAAAGTGAAAAGCTAAATGCCTTTTCCTTGGGAGAGCACATATTTAGGGTGCTTCCTCAGTAGCAGTCCCGAACAGCACAGAGCTAAAATGAGGTGATGAATGGGGAGATGGTCGCTTTTTATAGTCTACACAGCTTTGTGTTGTTTAAAGTACTTCAGTGAGCCCATGCTTCTTTGATAATTTTTATTTTATTTTTTTGTCGTACCAGGGATTGAACTCTGGGCCTCTGTTGTACAGGTACGCAGTCTATCGTTAAGTTAAGAGGCATCACGAGACCCTTTCATCATTTTAAAAACAACCAAGACCGAGCAGTCTCAGATGCCGAATGGGGCTGCCAATCTTTCCTTACCTTCCCCCCTTGTACTAGGGATGGCAGAGCACCATGCTAGCCCCATGGTGGGAAATGTTTCTTAACTCTCTGTGCTTCAATTCCCACATCTGCAAGACTGGGGGAATGCCAGTGTTCTCCTCAAAAGGTTCTTGCAATGAGCGAAGGAGTCAACATTCACACTGCACTTCAACAGTGCCCAGTGGGCACCTGCCTCGTACATCGTACATCGGAGTCAAGTTGGTTGTTATGGTGATGTATGCTAACTGACTACAACTGGGAGGGATGGAACACTCGCTGAAGAGCTGATCCCTGGTCCTATCGGATGTAAGCTGTATGACCTTTGGGAAGTGGCTCAGTCCTGAGAGGCTGAATTTCCTCAGCTGTCAGCTGTGAATGACAGGACGGAGCACCACAGCAGCACCAGGAGGTACCTCCTGCCCCTCATTTGGAATCGACTCTCAGGCAACAGAGTCACTCTCAACACCATGTAAGGGGCAAACCAGAAGTCCTCACATCTTCTAATTGCTCTGACGTAATTTCGGTCTACTTCTGTTTCGTGCCACTGCTAAGGTCAGTTCTACGCAGTGGCAGGAACTGAATGGTGCATCTCTGGAGAACCTACAGACATGCTTGGTGCACATGACTTCAGAAGGAGATCTAGGTGGAACAGTGAAGGGCACAGGGCAAACGGAAGCTCTCCCACTGGTGCCCAGAAAGCAAAGCCTCAGCACCAGGTGCCATGCCGGGGATGCGGAAGGATTAGGAGAGGGGCATTCTAGGGGAACAACCACCCCTGCTTCCTCCTCCTCGCTATCCAACCAAGTCCTGGCAGGCAGTCCCACAGCAACCACGCAGAGTCTAGCAGCTTTTTTCAGATCACTTGGTGCCGCTGGACCGATGTGCCACCCCTCGGAACGGCAGTCTCTGGCTGGCAGAGACCTACCTTGCAGTGTGTGGTGCTGACGGGAAGCCCGATGTTGGAGGCGATCACCACGGTGAAGGCAGAGGCCAGCTCAATAGTGAAGCCACTGTGGGGGCAACAGGAAGACAACGTCACAGGAGCTCTTTGTGTGGCCTTGCCGACACCCTGTGGCTGCAGAAGCCTTGCCAGAACATTCTGTAAGCTGGTTATGGACTGCTGCCTGAGCCAGATGACCATGAGGAGAACAAGACACTGTTGCTCACAGCAGGGCTCTGGGCTGTGCAGCTGACATCCAGTGACCTTGTTTTCCTAACATGTTTTCCAATCTGAAGTGTGGAACTGGGTCAGAAATTCCTGCTGCGCGCTAAGACGATAAATTGCTCGTTCCTAAAGGGGCACGGGAACGACTAGGTTCTCATCTTGAAAGTGTGAACTTATTACAAAAAAGGAACCTTCAGGTGACCGATTTTTCTTCAATTCCGTCTTCTAAGACAATCTCTTGTTAAAATGGATTTTAAGGATGGGGAACTGAAAAACAGAAACAAAAGGAAACAGAAACCCCCTAATATGTTTTAAAAAGAAACAGAGAAAAAAAGATTTCCTACAACTGAGAGTTCTGAGTTTTAGTTGTCCTCTGTAAGCTGAGGTTATTTAACCTGCAGTACATCCAAAGCCTCCACAGCAGAATGACTGTGACACTTCAGACCCCACCAAGGACGGCAGAGGTGCATGCCCCCAAATCCTGGGGGACAGGTGAGATCTCAGGGCTTGAAAACTTGGGGGACAGGTGGGTACCACGTTGTGGAGTTTCTGTCCCCCCGAGGCCCATGCCAAAGGCCTGGTCCCTAGGCTGCTGCGATTGAGAGTGACATAAGGGGGTGTCTGGTCACTGGGGCATATCCTTGAGGGGTGTACGACTCTGGCCTTTCTGATGGTTGCTTTTGCTTCTTGGCTATGAGGTGTTTTGTATTTTTTTTCCCCTGTGACAACAGGCTCCCACCATGATGTGCACTTTTCTATCCACCTGAAGAATGAGGACAAGACTGGACCAAGACCTGTAGAAGTGTGAGCCACAGCGAGCCTTTTCTCTTTCTACTCTGCTTACCTCGGGTGTTTTGTATTGGCCACAGAGAGCCGACTAGCAGAAAAGACACAGGAGAGTGGTGTGGCTAGAGAGTTCTGGAGAAAAGCAGGCCTCAGGCTCCGCGCTGGCTCTCTGGACCTCACACGGCATTAGAACATCTGGATAGATCGGGAACGACAGCAGTCTCCTGGTTCTCCCTGCTGCTCTGCTTCAGGGTCTTCCTGCCTCCATCCTGGTGCCAGTGTAGACGGCAGCAGGGGGGTTATGGGGAGGAAGGGGCTGACTGGTGGAGAGTGAGGTACGGAGGGGTCCCTCTGCCCTTTCTTACTGTGACTATTACTACAGAAGAGCAGCGCAAGACATGTGGTAGTCTGAGTGTAACTGGCCCCCATAAGCTCGTAGGGAGTGGCACCATCAGGAGGTGTGGCTTTGTTGGGGTGGGTGTGCTCTTGTTGGAGGAAGTGTGTCACTGTGGGGGCGGGCTCTGAGTTTTCCTATGCTCAAGCTACTCCCAGCGTCACAGTCCACTTCCTGTTGCCTGCAGATCAAGATGTAGCCAGACCATGTCTGCCTGCACGCTGCCATGAAGATAATGGACTGAACCTCTGAAACTGTGAGCCACCACCTCAGTGAAATGTTTTCCTTTATAAGAATTGCCATGGTCATGGTGTCTCTTCACAGCAATAGAAATGCTAACTAAGACAAGAAAGCTCTGATATATTGACTCTGCAGTGGGCCCCACCTCAAAGCCCTGTCTACAGACCTAACCTGTACAGGTGTAGTGGTATTTGCTCCGCCCATGACCTTGGGCTATATGGCCCAAAGGAGGCGGTGCTTCCCGCCATTGTATGTGACCTCTTATAAGGGGTTGGAGAAGGGTCACATGCCCCTTCTCCCTGCTCCTGCTTGTGAGGTGGATTCACTCCCGGTCAGATCAGAGGACGATTTCTGCTGTCTACTCCATTCTGTAATCGTGAGTGCATTTCCTCAATTTATATCTTAATAAATTCTGTTACCACTTTAACAGGCTCACGTGGATTGATCATAATATACAGGCCTCACCTGGACGGTGTGATTGGAGTGAGGTCCTTCCCCATGGTCTGGATCACTCTTCTCCCCCAAACCCAGAGACCTGTGCAAATCCCAACTCCTCCGTAAAACAGCAGCCAGACCGGGGTCGCGGCTTCTTGCATAACTCCACCTTGTTCGTAGATCAGCCACAAAGCCACGAGGGGACCGATTGCATTGCTGGTTAAAAATGGGGGGGGGGGGCAGGGAGGGAGGTTAGTTATACACAGGCATGGCCCTATACACACCACATAGTGACTTCTCAGTTTGAAAATTAGCTAAATCTCACTGCATGGAATCTAGGGGGATAACATGACTTACTGATATAAACAACATACCAGAAAATTGGCCATTTTAACCATTTTAGGTAGAGTTAAACAGAGTTAGTATAATTACCTGGTTGTGAAAAGGCACTTAAAAATCATGTGGAGTAAATATGACGACCAAGTTGTTATTATTATTTTGATTTTTTGAGACAGGGTTTCTTTATGTAGCCTTAGCTGTCCTGGACCAGGCTGGCCTTGAACTCACAGAGAGCCGCCTGCCTCTGCCTCTGTCTCCCGAGTTCTGGGATTAAAGGCGTGCGTCGCTGCTGCCACCACGCGGCCAACAAGCAGGTTCTTTTTCTCTTTCCTTTTTTCTCAAATGCCTTTCCATTCCCACTGCCGTCTCCACTGCTCCTGACTCTAGCTCCTAGCTTGAACAGATGAGTCAGTCCTCATATGGCGGGCACGGATTCTTACAATTGGCCTGGAAGCCGGGCACTGTCTCTCTGTCACACAAGAATGCCATGGCCACCGTGCTGCAGGTGGAGGCTGCTTAGACATGCTTGTCCTCTCCCCTGGACTCTACTGTCCCCCAGGTCCATGTCCCCCATGTACACAGCATGGTCAGAGTTTTGACATACGGGTTTTTAGTGGTCCCTCCAGATCTAGTCCCACCCTGGTTGGCACAGCTGTGTACACAGAGTGTGGCTTGAGGGTCAGCATGGAGAGGCTTCTAAGTCAGCTCCGCTCCAGCTGTGTGACTCTGGGCACATCACTTCACATTTCTTAGCTTTGGGTCCACCTTTAAAAACACCACTCACCTAGCTCAGAGGTGGTCTCATGAGGATGATGGTAAATTGCAAATGGTTTCATACTGAGTCCTGGCAGGTACCTCATAAACCCTTCCCCACGTGACTCTGTTGTCAGATTATTTCTAGAATCTGGCTTTTTATCAGATGACACGGTTTAAAAGCCCCAGACAGTCCCCGAGTTGTAAGCAACTGCTCTGAACTCTGTCATCTGAAGAGTTACTGTTGTGGGAATAGTACTTTCCATGCCTACGTTTTTCTGAGCTCTCTAGTGAGAGTTTGACCTCCAAGAGGCTCACACTGTTTTTACACTGGAAGCTGCATGCGAGCATTATCAGACAAGTGCCAGCTGAAAGCTAACAGCGCCTATCCCTAGCCCTTCTCACAAGACACCAGTGGAGGAAAGTAGTTCCTCATTCTGTCCCCCGCCATGCGGCCCTTCTGGAAAGACCCTCAGACGATGACCCCTTCACTGGAGGCCCTCCAAGACGGTGGTCTACCAGGGCACGCCTCCCAAAAGGCAGCAGTCCCAAAACACTCTTGTCCATGTCACAGGACACTCTGCTGTCGTTGATATGGCGTCACTGGTGTTTCTGGGGACAGTGACAAGTAATAGATGGGGACCACGTGCCACTGGGCCATATCATCTTCTAAGGGAGGCACTGTCTTGCCTACCTTATAGGGGATAAAAGCACAGCAGCAAGGTTGTTGTTGTTAAATGCAGTATTGCTATAGAATGTTGTATAGAATGGCTCCCCACATTCTAGGCAAGCAAGGTTCACTGAACTCCAGCCCCATCCCAAAGAGGTAATGTATACAACATTTTCTCTCAGCAATATGCCGATCCTCTTATTCATTCATCTTTCTAGACATGGAAACGTTATACACAGGTATAAGGTATACAACAGCAGGTACTCAATCTTTTGTTTGATGTCTTGAAACATCTTTGAAGTGAAACTTTTAAAAAATGAACAGAGAAAAGACTTAAGAGGCGTGGATACGATCGAGTGACTGCTAAATATCCACGAAGAGTGGACTCCTGCTAATATCTATGAAGAGTGGACTCCTGCTAAATATCCACAAAGAGTGGACTCCTGCTAAATATCCACAAAGAGTGGACTCCTGCTGAATATCCACGAAGAGTGGACTCCTGCTAATATCCATGAAGAGCCAGCTCCTGATAAATATCCACAAAGAGTGGACTCCTGCTAATATCTATGAAGAGTGGACTCCTGCTAAATATACACAAAGAGTGGACTCCTGCTAATATCCACGAAGAGCCACTGTCTCCCATCTCACTCCATGAAGCCACAGGGCTCCGGGTGTCCACACTGCCTCTTCGCTTCCTTCACTCTCAGGATTTCTACCCAGCTCCTCTGCCTTTTGGGCATAGGGACTCCCTCATCTGTACAAAGCCTGATCATTCCTGAGTGCAGACACACCCCCGTGGCTGCTAACGTGGCTGTCATTTAGATGTTACAGGTATCTTCAGGTTTATATCTAATCTGAACTCTTTAACTGCTTAGCTCCAAAGCAGCCCTTTCTGGGTCATACTTCCCAGCATGGCAGCTCATCCTCTGATTTGTTAGAGCCCAAATTGTTGGGCTAGGTTTCCTTCCTTCATACCTTTGTCTAATTTAGCAGTTCTCAACCCGTGAGTCTTTCACAGGCCTAAGACCATCTGCAATCAGATATCTACATTACAATTCATAACAGTAGCAAAAGTACAGTGATGAAGTAGCAATGAAAATAATTTTATGTTTGGGGGGGGTGACTACAACATGAGGAACTGTATTAAAGGGTCACAGCCTTAGAAAAGTTGAGAACCACTGGTCTTAACTGGTTATCAATTCCACTGGTCCCACATTCAAAATAATATATCCAGACCCTGGCTACTGTACCATCTCTCTGCTCCAGGGCTTGCTGTTTCTTCTTGGATCATTGTTAGTAACATCTTAACTGCTCTCCCCTCCCCTCAGCACAGTCACAGAATAAGCCAGAGGGATCCTGTTAACTGCATAGTCCATTAGCCTGTCAGCCCTTCCGGTGGCTCCCTCTTCTCTCAGAGTGAAAACTTCCTTCTTCCGAAAACTTACTTCCTTAAAGATTTCAAAGTACTTATTTATTTTAAGTGTATATCTTTCTTGATATGTTTGTCTGTGCACCCTGTGCATGCCTGGCATCCATGTAGGCCAGAAGAGGGCACCGGATCCCCTGCAACTGGAATTAAGGATGGTTGTGAGCCACCACACGGGTGGTGGGAATTGAACTCGGGTCCTATGCAAGAGCGTCAATTGCTCTTAACTGCTGAGCCATCTCCCCAGCCCCTGGACAACTCATTTTTAAGACAGGGTCTGGCTGCGTAGTCCAGGCTAGTCCTGACTTCCTGGGGTCAAGCAAACACCCTGCCTCAGCCTGCAGAGCAGTCAGGACTCAGCTGCACACTACCTTGCCTAGCGGAACACAATTCCTTCACGTTTCTCCGTGACTGTACCATGACTTGATTCACAGTCTCCACTTTCCCCTGTCCGAGGTCTCCTGCTCTTTTCAGAGTAGTCCAGGCAGGCTCCACTGCACCCTCTGCCTCTCCTCTTTGCTCTTCCTGCCCGGGTCACGTGGCCCGTTCCCTTACCTCGTTCAGACCCTGCTCAGGGAGCCTCCCCATGCAGCTAGCTGATTTTTATCACTGTGACCCCCTTTCTACTCTCTGGTGCATCCTGGGTACTTATATGCGTGCTTACTGTCTGTGCTCCCGTCTGCCCAGTGACAGGGACTTCTGTATCCCAGCATGGAGCAGACCGACCCTTACTGTCTATCTGTTAAACGAAGAAAGATATGCACCTCACATCATTGCCACCATGAGCAAAGGACCCAAAGCAGGCAGTGAGGACTTGCAGGAAGTGGAACAGCAGGTGGACCTCTGCGGTGTCCTTCTCCTCCTTCTCCTCCTCCGTGGGGTCCTCGTGAGGCTGGTCGGGATCCCCCAGCTCAGAGGCCAGCCTCATTTCCACGCCCCCCTCTTCGGCCTCGATCTCGGCCTCGGCGACGGCATTGCAGTAGCTGGAGTAGCTGTCGTAGCGGAGCCTCTTCTTGGAGTAGGACACCGTGTCGCCCACCAGCTTCTCGCTGTCCTCGGGGGCGGAGGAGGCGTCTGCGGCTCTGAAGGTGGTGTGCACCGGCATGCCGCAGATGGCCGCCGTGTAGCAGGTGTAGCTGTTGTTCCGACGAAGCAGCCGGTAGTTGTTCTCCTGAGCGGGCTTCTCCTCGGAGCCTTTGTCTCCGTGGATTCTGTGCAGCAAGTCTTTGTAGAGCCCCGAGTCTTTGTGAACAGTGTGATAAACATGGCCGTCGTTTCTCATGTGGCCTTCGAAGCCGAACGTGCCGTTGGAGATGGGTGACTTTGCGGAGCCATGAGTCATGGAAAGTGCCCGACCTGAGAATAATTTAGGAGATGCTTATTTAGGGCTGGGGCAGGGGGATGGCCCTCAGTGGAAAATCACATGCTCAGCACGCACACGGCTCTGGGTTAGGTCCCTGTCCATCAAAACCGTACAACATGAAATTTGGGGACACTTCTGTACCCATGCTGGGCCTGGCTGGCTACCTCCTGAGGTCTTCCCGTGTTGTACCCAAGTTCTCCAAGTTAGCCTTACCATAGGCTGTCCGGGGGTGGTTCCCTGTTGACGTGCCTTCTGAGGGCCCCACGGCCTCCCCAGCCGGGCTGGTGAGGGGCACAGCACTGTCATCGCTGGCTTTGGCACCAGGGAGCTCCTTAAAGGGAGACTCCACCTCCTGGGCTTTACTGAGGCTTTCGTCAGAAGTGCGCGATAAGGCCCTCTCCTTTTCTAATTTGCCTAGAGAAAATAAGGAAGTAAGTACAG